CAGGTTGCAGCTGGGGAAGTCGAACGTCGAAGGAAAAATAGATATATCAAAGTTATTTATAAAACTTATTATCCCTTAGTAGTTATTACAATTTTGAAAAAACTGGTGGATCTCCTTTTGTAGCCAGTGCTACAGCTGCATCAACGAAATCTTGACTTTGCAACATTACTTGATTCCTCATTAGCTGAAAAAGTTATTGATTGAAATTTCTCTTTTTTTATCATGGTTTGCTGCGATATTGTCTAATTTATATTTTTAGGTGAACTAAATGACTGCTCCTTGTCTGCAATACTTACAATATGGTTTAATCCCTCATCAACAGTGTGATCTCGTGAATAATTCAAGCTAAGTTTAGTTCCTTGAACAGCAACTGGACTCTTGCTTGCTATTTGTTTTGCTAGATCCAGAGCTTTCTCCAGCAACCTTGAATATATAAGTTAATAATTAAACAATTTTTCTATACATGTATCAATGAATAATGTTTTTGTTATCCATATAAAATTAACATACTCCTTCTGGTCATTAAAGACTTGACTAACAAAACCAAGCATTAAAGCTTCTGGAGCTGCCATTTTTCTAGCAGTATAGGCAAGTTCTCTGACCACACTTTGAGATCCAATTATTTTTGGCAACCTTTGTAATGTTCCAACATCAGCAGCCATTCCTAGATCAACTTCTTTAATCTGAAACCATGAATCTGCTGAACAGTACCTAATGTCTGTGGAACAAATCATGTCTACGCCGCCTCCTACACAAGCTCCGTGTACAGCTACAATGACTGGTTTAGAGCACTACAATGGAAATTGATTATGTCAGAATGAAAATAAAAAAAGATATTTTGGCAATAATTGATGATTGGTTATTATAAGGATTGATTGTTACCTTTTCAATAGAAGTAAAGGAATCTTGATATTCTTTTATTTTTTTCTCCAATATCTTACACTTCCTAGCAACATCAAGATCATCACCAAATTTTTGAAAAAGCGTCATTGCATCTTTCAAATCAAGTCCTAAAGTAAAATAGAGAAATAATTTTATTTAATTAAAACATAAAGCTTAATGATTACCTGACACACTGATGCTTCGTTTGAATCCAACGACGGGATTTTGGAGCGTCGAGAGAGAGACAGAGAGAGTATATATAGCTCCTTGTGTATATAGCTAT